ATATAATATTATATTCAAATATATTTGTGTATATTTAAGAAAAAAAAATAGAATTAAATTCTGCTCTAGATTAGATAAAATCAACTCTTAACTAACTCATGAAATTTCCAACCAAAATAATTTTTTAATATTAAAAAATATTTAAAACCTTGATTAATCGCTTAATAATATGAGTTTATTCTCTGCTTCGATAGATTGTCCTCACTTATCACTATGAATCACCGTGTACATATGGTGCGTGGCGCGTGTGCTTGGCTTGCTTTTAATTATAGACCGGAGCCCTTCTCCTTTCCTTAGCGTCCACCCTCGACACCGCGAAATTGGAAAAGTGACTTCTCTCTACGAACTGTGACTACCTAGTCTCGTTTTTGCCACTCACTCGATTGAGGGTAAGAACAAAACTCGAGAAAAGATTTCGAGGAGCTTTAACATCGCCTATGCTCTCAAAGTGCCAACGTGAACTTAACTCTAGAGTAATACGAAGCATACTTAATAATGCATATACTATATAGCTATTAAAAGTTATGTGAAAAGTTTGCTAGTCTAGTTAATTATCGAGCTTCTGCCAAAGAACTGAAGAAAGATATTTGGAATTTGTTCAATACAAAAATATAAAAATAATTTTTGCTGTATAATATATATTGTTAATTTCTGCATCAAGTTTTATTTAATCTTTGACACAGATGATTTTACTATATTAAAAGCACAACAAAGAAACATAAATGCTTCTAATTTTTAATTCGTCACTATTTATTATGACAGAGTACAAAGATTGAATAGAAGATATTTGAATAGAAAAAAAAAAACGAGAAAAAAAGATGAGAGGAAAGGGACGCGTGTTTTATGGATTCTAAGTGCATCTCGCTAGGAAAACGAGCCACGTCACATCCGGATGTATAGATCGAAACGCGCAGTTGAGTTACATTTCTCTTTCTCTCTCTTTCTCTCTCTCTCTCTCTTTCTCGAATAGAGTGATACCTCCTCGTGTTTCCAATTTGCATAATCCTGAGTCAACGCGTGATGCTCTTCCTCAAAGGATACAAATTGAAGGACTGCCTCCGAGAATGGAATCCTTATAATATTACGAGACAGAAAGCTATCCATTTTGAAATTTTATTGTACGCTTTCTAACATTTTATCAAATGTTATAACAGTAAAAAAATAATTCAGTTTTCTAAAAAGGTTTCGGTTAACAGAAAAAAAATTAATTGCAAGAAAAATAGAGAGTAAATACTTATTCAGATTCTGGTAATATATATAATCAATTTTAATTTTTGTATTTTAAAATATTAACATATTTTTTATATATAATGTGTCAATCTTATTTTATTTTTTTATTAAATACTAAATTATTTAAATTAATATTATGTATCTGTGTGTGCTATACTAGACAATCTCCCTTTCAGAGAATATTAAAATATGATTGGCAAAATTTAATGTCTATCAAAAGTATAATCTGGACAGTTTAAAATTTTTCCCGTATAAGATACTCAGACAAAGTACCGCAGTTAAAAGAAAAAGCAATAAAAAATTGATATAATTTACGAGCAAGGGGACGTAACGAGACGTTATAATTAATAGCTTAATTAACCGCGAGTACCTATAGAAGCCAGATGTTTAATCACGGATATAAAACGCGCGTGTCAGAGGTTACGCTAAATGCGATTCTAAGCGAATCCTTTTGCCGCGGCACTTCTGTGAAATGCCAATCTGAGATCCAAGCGATCATTCTTCTCAGACCAAGCGCAGATTTATTTTACAGTCCTATTGCAAAATACGATCATTACGCATTTATATTATAACAAAGAGAAGAGATTTAAAATTTACGATATTTATATTATAAAATTATATTATACATATTTTTTTATAACAAAGGATTATATTTTATTAAATCACAGAATATCGTGAAATGCGTGGCTTCAAAGATGACTTAAAAATTTATTATTTAGTAATAGTATATCGGTCAAGATATATCTCACTGTAATATATTAAATTTTAAAATTATTGTAAATAAATTAACTAAGAAATTAAAAGAGTTAAGAAATCACAAATAAAAAAGAAGTATATTGTAATATAATTTGAGAACTAGTGTGTGTGTGTGTCAAGTTAATTAAAAAAGTTAATTAAATTTAAAATTAAAAAAAAAAATAAGATGTAAATAAATAAATAGAAAATTATATAACCATCTTAATTGATTAAAGATGTTTAAAAAATTGATTAAAAGTTGAATAATTCGAAAATTGGTATTGGCATTGGATATTTTTCGAGGAAAGAATCGAAATGTGCCGCAAGATGCAATTTAGTTTGTTTTTTCCACGCGTTATTCTAAATACATATTCTCTGAAGAAGAGCGCGGACGGTAATCTATGGTGCATCGTACGTGCGGTTGCACTGATTTTATCCGCGTATCCTAAGCGGCGAGAGCTTATGAGCTCTCTATTTTTAAAGGACGGATGGGTTTTAAATTTGTTTCTTCAGGAAAGCCCCGTGCATCGAATATGGTCTTTCCGACTTTCGAGTCGATCGGTTCTTATCTAAAATCTGAGATTTTTTCTAATCTTTCGTTTAATTAACGAGTAAACAATCGGCCTTCTTTTGAAGTTGATTATAAAGGGCATTTAATGATCGATAATTGATATTTTGTTTACGTAAAAATATAAAGATTCATTATACATATGCTGCAATAATAAAACGGATATAATAAATTTTTGTTATGCAATTAATTTGGAATTTAAATTGTAATCATTTTTACTATATTTGATAAATATATAGATAACGTACAATATTGATTAATTGAGACATCTTTATATTATTTTAATATATTTTATATCCTTTTCATTATTCAGATAATAAATAACATTTAGTTTCGAAGAGTATATACACTCACCATTTGTTGAGCGCTTTTCGGTTTTCGGTTTACGTCGATCACTTTTTGATTAGCTGCAACAAGAAAGATAATCATAGATTAATTTAGAAATTATTTTTCTTTTATTTAGTTGACTAACGGACATTCCGACAAATTGCATATAGCACGCACGTATAGCACGTGACTATCGTATCTTATTCAGTAATGACTTTACTGCAAATTTATATGTTATGTTACGAATAACTGTCCAACACCATAAACGGCGATTCGGTACTGTTAAGCGTATCACATTTAGCGACTCGTCAACTAGCATCACTGACCAGTTTTATGCATCGATCTTTATTAATAAAATACTGCAACTAAATCTTTATTTATTTCATATAAATGTTTTCTATCGAAACAACACGTAAAAAAATATTTTTAAATTACAATATTTATAAATATATAATTTAGTTTTCAGAGATTCGCAAACACACTTATGTAATTTTTTTAAAATATTAATTTTATCGCTTTTTCTCGATATAAATCTGGATAATTGTATAATTATTTAAAAGATAAAAAGACGAGGACACTTACTGACAGCCTCCACCAAGTCGGCCAAAAGGACACCGTCGCAGAGATCAGCTTGGAGATCGGTCACTCTCCTTTTGCAACCTCCTCGTTCCAAGTAATAATTCGCCCAATCCGTGTAGATCTGAAATATTAAAAATATATTTAAGAATATTTTTACTGCTGGTTTTCCACAATTAAAGTCTTCGTTCAATAAAAAAAACACTTTTTTTTTCGTTTTAAGCGAAAAACAACAGACATAGATATAATCAGTAGATGTCCACATAACTGCTAAACATGCGGGCAATGTACATATGTATGTACATATATTAGATTCATGTTCTTCATCTTCTAATAGTAAGAAAACATTCGTAGAGTAAATCGAGATGGAGTTATTCATCGTAATACTATGTGGAAAATTGTGCGCGCTCTTAATACATTGTGTTTCATGGCAATGATTATGTTTGATCGATTGGCTCTCAAGATCATACTTCGGTGAATTAAAGGCAATCACAAAAGAGAAAGAGAGAAAAACATATTGTAGAGAAGCAGACTTTAATGGTCGATAGAGCGATTATTATCTCTCCGTGCTGCAACTGCACGCCAATTATTATTTTTCCATTATGCTCGCTCTAGCTCTACAAACGTTTGTATTTGTAAAAATAATAAACAATTATAAGAAATTGCACGTAAATATTGCAAGACAATTTTTCGTCTCCTACATTGAAAATTCTTTTAGAATAAAAAATTAATTTTAGAGTAATTTTGTTCTGCTAAAAATAATTTTATGGATAAAAATGCGAACTTTCTCCGTATCTTAAAAAGAATAAAGAAAAAAATAAATTTTTTTATATAATTGATTTTCTTCTTAAATATTTTTAAAATATTGTAATAAATATTTCTGCTGCGCCGCCAAGTTCTAGTCAAACTTGTGCAAATTGTACGACTGACCCTATGTTACTCGAAATGATAGAAGCAAAGTGAAGAATGCCAATTGGCGTGATAGGAATCTCTCCACCTCGGAGAATCTTTCGCAAGATGTTTCCTTATTCGTCTCTCGCCTAGCATGTTGAATTTCGCCTTCGATACATATGTGCTTTACAAATATTAACTTTGCGCTGAGCTCTGCTTAATCTCTTTGATGCATTTTCTATTTCAAATATCGTCATAATAATATTTAATATAATAAATTTCATTTAATTTAATATAAAGTTCAATCAATATTTTTTTGAAGAAAATTCGGATAAGAAAACTATTATAATTTTCCAGAAAAAAATTATAATGTAACTCCATAAAATTTTGGTATATGTTATAAAGATAAAATAAAATAAATTATGAATATTTAAATGGAAAAAAAATTATATGTATATGCATATAACAAAAAATTCTAATAAAAAGAATTCCAATAGGCATAGAAAATAAATAATATTTCAATAAAAAATATCTTTCTCATAAATCTCAATTGTTGTATAAATGCACACTCGCGTAATATGCGACAGATACCCGTTATTTGTCAATAAAATTGAATGCAACTGCAATTGGTCGCTGACTCTTTTTCTCATCGTTTTTTTGTTTAGCGAAAACAACACGACAGGCAACGCATTCATTTGCAGTTTCATCATACGAGTGGCGATTCATATATGTCACATAGGTGTTATCTTCTACTGCTTGCAACCCTAGGCAACTGCATGTACACTTACGTTTATTAACACGCGACTTTCTCCCCGTTCCCCGTGTTTATCTTCTCTCTGCTTTTTTCACCTGCTATTTTATAGTGCCGCAAGTACATGGTTGTCACTATGTATGTTATTTATTTGTCGGATAATAGAAAGAAAGGGGGAGGAAGGAAAGAGAGGAATGATACATTGATAAATTTGTTGAGAAATTTAATCAAATCAATATTACTTCAGATGTTGATACTTCGTCATAGAGCACATTTTGAAGTCGTTCATTATTACATCAACTACAAATCAACTAGACAACTTTAACAATTTTTATGTGTGAAAAATCTTTATTTTTCAGAAAATTTTTTATTTATAAGTATTTTTATATAAGTGAACATCGGGGACATAAATCACGCCAGGAAGCATGAATTGTCCCGACGCCGTTTACCGGCCTGGCGAAGCGCCAGGCTTTTCAGCGCGTGCAAGCGTACGAGCGAACGACTCTCGAGAGTCTGTCCGAGGAGGCAGAGAGACGCGCACTCGCTCACAGCACTGGACGCTGGAAGGCACAAGGAAAGATAAACGTGGTGCAGACGAGAAAGAGAGGAAGACAGGAGCCGTACAGAGAGCGAGGAGAGGAGAGAGTTAGTCATCGCGTACTATTTTTAAGCGTGCAAAGAGACGAACGGAAGGGACGCGGGCGAAGGCTTGCTTCATGATTTCAGGTCGCCATTATTACGGCGGCCACGATGGGGTCGTCGCTTCTCCGAATCTTTTCGCGCTTTTCCGATGAAATCCCAGGATTTTCCCGCGGTATTTCAGTAGGAAAAGAGAGATAGAGAAAGAGAGATGAAAGAAGCAGAACGAGATCGACCGAAACGCATATACTAAACTATATCTCACTGAGATAAAAGATGTTTTTTATTTCATGTATAGCTTATACTTTTAACTTAAAATATAAAATTTATTCTTTCGAAAAAATTTATGGAGATAATAATAGATATAAAAAAGATAAAGAGAAGGTATAATGTAATTGAGTTCTATATACACTTCATACACACACACACATACTTTCAATCATCATAATATTAGTTAGCATTACAAGATAATAGTGACTGTAAATTTTAATTTTTTATTTTTTCTTTAGATATTGCAAGTTATTTACTGCGAATAAGATATCTCATAAAATATTTTTTCGTCATGCCAAATATTTGTAGTGGTCTGTTTTTATGTAATATATATTATAACAAACTCTTATATACGAATTTGTTATCCTCGATAAAAAGAATCATTATTTACATATTTTCTCGCTTATTTTATGTGAATCCGTTTTTATCTTGCATCTTTTCGTGTTATATAGCCTGACTCACTTGGCATTCGTTATAATAATTGTATTCACCCAAACCAAGATCAAAGTAAATTTAATAAAAAGATTCGAGGGGTCTCTTGGCGAAAGAGATACAAGCAAGAAGGAAAGACTTTTTACCTGTACAATATTACGGGTAGAGTCGGCTTTAATGTCGTCAACGGAACCGCGCACGGATCTCGGCGCTCTGATGCATGCCATGACGCCGCCGGTGGTCACCGCGATGCTTCAGCGTCATTCGAATGTGCTCTGTGATTATCTCTCACGAATCGTAATTGTATTCTGCACTTTGCGCCGAATGATCACATGGTAATGCATAATTGCGATCACGCTCTATTCACACTATAATTAAAATTGTAATCCTTGATACATCTTTGACCCTTGATTTTTACACTTCATCCTTTCAATAAAAAGTCCTTTGATTTAATACAACTTGCACGCCGATTATTATTTTATTATTATTTTTTCTAAAATAATTTTACTTAATTTTTTCTGCAAAATATAAATTTAAAAAATATATCGATATATTATATAATAATATTAGAATATTGATCTAAATTCCAAATAAGTTTGATATATGATATTTAAACAAAAATATATTAATTTCAATTAAACTACTTAATATTGTTTAAAAAATCGGCTCACTGCGAAATTATTCTATACGTATATACTTTATATATTTTAAGTTGGTATTGTATTTCAATCGTTCAATTGTTCAATTTGCCAGTCAAGTCGCCCTCGCTCCAGATCGATCTCCAGAACGACGTGACGATTTGCGCGATGTCGCGATCCATTGTAAGAAACACAAAGAAACGTCTCGACACCACGACGCATCGGACGTAACTGAATACGCGACCGACGAAGCGCACCGCACGTTTCTCTATTCGTAGGTATACAATCTCTCGCGCCTTCTCCTTCTTCTCATTTTCTCCCTCCTCCTCATGATCTCTTTCATCTCCCCTTCCTTTTCCCGCTTTGCCACTCTCTATCTATATATCTGTCTCTATTTACAAAAGTTCACCATAGAATGTCAACAAGTTACGTTTTTGTATCGTAAAATTTCACGCAATTGTATTTTGAAAATTTGGAGTTGTTGTGGAAATTTAAATATATTATAAATTTAAAAAATATTGTTCGAAATAATATCACACATTTTGTAATAATGTATGTGTATCTAGTATTTGATAAAATCATTGCGTCTTTCTTTTGATTATTTTATTATTATTATTAAAGGACAATATATTATTATAATTAAAATTTTTTTAGAATAACGATGTAAAAGATGTTAATCTCAATTTATTTAAATCAAAGTTTTATTTCTACCCGATCTCTCTAATCGCTATTTTTTAATTTTAATCGATCTAATTAAAATCAAATTGGAAAAATAATTAAAATTAAAATAATTTTTGAGATTAATCATAAATATAATTTTAATTTAATATCAAGATTACCAAAAATAACATATTAATCTTGGATTTAAAAAAATTTGTAAATTACATAATTATATTAATTTTACATGTACATTTAATTTATGTAATAATTATGTTAATTTTTTTGCGTACTTGTTTTTAGTTAATTTGCAAAATTATACGAGATCCATATTCCGATGAAAAACGTTTATATATACAAAAGTTTCAAGAAATTAAGAACTGGGAGAACCATAATGATGACGCATGCGATCAGAAAGTGTGACACATATTTAGATTGCTATTTTAAGACATTTACGACAAACATGATAAAGAAATTGCATCGAACTGTCAAAGAATGACAAAACTGCAAGGATATTAAATTAGGAAAAAATTTCTCGGTCATATAAACGAGTCAGCATCAATTCAACAACATGTATATCCAATTCTTTAATGCTGTCATTTAACTTGAATAAAGAAGGCTAACAAAAAAATGATCAAAGAAACGCATAACACAAAGAATCGCATAATTTCCGGAAAAATATAAATTTTTATTTTATTTAAAATTAGGAATGTATAAAACATAATATAGAATGTTGGAGCTGTAACTTCTTATATACTGACAATGAGTGCCTTATATTTCTCTGCGATATTTTGTGCAACGTGGTCTACGAATTGCCTATTATAATTACGTTTTCTTTTTGTTATT